AGGTAAATAAAACTCATGGCTAAAATCATATGGAGACAAAATTACAAATTTTACTACAAAAAAAATAAGATACAAGTTACATTATCTTGTGAACATATAGTAACGATGCAATATCTTTTTTTAAAATAAATTTATTTTTGCGTCGGTATTTTTTTGCTAAGGTATTTTAAAACGTTTTGACGATAAACATCGTTGAAGCACACGTTAACGTAAAATGTGAGGCTGTAATACATGTATTGTAAGGTATTCAGAAATGTGTACCAATGAGATACAGACCTTCTATTGTAATGTAGCACTAAATGATCAATTATGATTTCCATTATACTTGCAGGCAACAGAAATATTACGAATTCGATACTCAAGATTATCAGAGTCTTCGAGTGCTGCTCTCTTTCTTTCGATCGCCTGATATTATTCGCTGCGGCACCGCGTGGTGTTACTTGGAAATAGTTGCCTACCCTCTCATTCAACCGTAAAGGAGTTACGTAATTTATAATTTTGAAGGCAGTCGCGGTAGTACGCCTATTTCGAACCACTATCCATTTTATCGCGACTAGAGCAAAGAAAGGAATTATATTGACGCATAGTTCCCGCAGCGTTTCGTAAGCCGCCCAGCGGTGTCGCGCTTCCCTTGTAATGGGCAAGTGAAGTTCATAGGCATAAATAAAAATGGTCATACTCGTTTCTCTTATTCCCTTATAGAACATTGTATTATCTTCGAAGAACCTGGCCCTATGTAGTTTATTAGGGCATATGAGTACCTTGGTAACGTAATACCATTTGAAGGTTGGAGCATACCAGATTACACAATAGACGAAGCATATCACCATGATCCAAATCACTCTCCGCTTGGTCACCAAGCTATTAAAACAGGTAGGATATTTGACGGCAATCATTTGCACCCCGAAAAATATGAAATATAAAAGAAAACTGAAAGCCATGAGAGTTTTTGTAATGGGGTAATGAAAGTTGGCTAAGTATGAATTCCAACTCTTGGAGTTCCAGAAAGTTTGGCAACATAAAGTATCACCGTGTATCTTCATGAGCGGCGATCCCACTTGCGTTAAAACGGTTATCAGGCTGAATATAAAGAAACATCTCAGGATAAACTTGTTAATGTAAAGGGAATTAGCCGATGGGTTGTTGCTATTTTTGAGACGAACGCTCATGGACTTGTTAACTCCAATTGCTAGGCTATTACCTATTATCCCCAATAACAAGATTATATAAGCTGTCACCAAATTCACATCCGTCATGATGTCTCGTTTATCAAATAGCACTGTATTTTCGAATGGAACGCACTTGTCATTTATCGATGATGTACCATTTAGGCTAACGTTTTGGATAGTGTCTAAATATATTCTACCCATTTTGTTTTAGCTAATTTTGTTTCTTTCCTCATCCATATTTATAACGAAAATATTAATTTTATTAAACCTAACAATTATAAAAATTAGAATATTCAGTTCAATATATAATCTAGATTTTTTATAAAAAAATTTATATTTAAGTGGGTTTTTATTAAATTATTTCATAAATTCATGGGAGGAAATTGGTTAATTGATGCCATTTTATTAATTTTAATTTTAAAATAGGTGAATTTTTTTTAAAAAAAAAAACAATTTAAAAATTTATTTTAAATGATTACAAGGTATATTAATTCGCCAAATTTATTCTTAAATCTCATTAATAATTTATAAAATTTATTTTAAAAATAGCTTTAATTTTATAATTTAAAGTGCCAATTATTTGAATTTAATACAAAAGATAAGGGAAGAGAAAGGCAATGGTAAGAAAAAATAAAATAATGATAGAAAGGCTAAATCATCCACTAAGCCAAACGTTATATACAGGGAAGGGAAAGGGGGGTGGGGTTTATTTTTAAAAATAATCAACACCAGAAAAAGTTTAATCTAAATATCTTTCGTATAAATGGAAATATAATCTTGTTTTTCGATCGAGTTTATTTTCCAATAAGTATTATCTGTTACTGAGGATAGAAACTCTGTAAAGTAGAGCTGTTTCATTCAAATCGATTTTCCGTTGTGTTCCGTAAATGAACGAAAAGTTTTTTTCGTTTGTGCCAGCGCTTATTGGTACTCTGCCTAAATAATACAGAAAATCTAATGTATTTGGAAGAAGAATAAAACTTTAAAATATATCTTAAAGTTGTGCGATGCTTGCATGGCGTTTCTTGACAGATTATCTTCTATAGAATTGATTGACCAATGGCCATCAGATCCGATACATTCTTATCGAATGCGGGGAGATTTATTTTACTTACCCCTCCCAACCCCCCCCCCCCCTTCCGCCCCGGCAATTTTTACCTATAATAAAAATTTGATGAAAATTTGTAAGTATTGAATATAGGTTATTTTTCATTTAGGAAAACTTTAATATTTACAGAGTCAAGAAAGTATAAAAATTTTTCTTCATTTTTGCAACTTTTTTTTTTAGTAGACTTCAACATCTATAATACCAGAGAAAGACTCCAAAGGTAGAAATTGAGAATTATGGTGACCCTTAAAACGTATTTGGCTAGAACTTGAGGTATATGATATCTCTAATAATGATAATATCCCAAATAATAAGAAAACCCTTTGAGCAAAATAATGATCTACATAAATTTAATATAGAATTTAAATAATTTTTTTTTTTTACTTTCCCCCGAGGAAGAATTTTTGCCTTTGGATAATTTAAAATTTTTTTAATAGACACTTATAATTATTAAGAATTTAGCTGAACAATCTAATATTTTATTCATTTCAATCGTCTGGAAAATAAAAACAAATACAAGTACATCGAAAAAATTTCCTTGGAATTAACTTTAACACGTTTGATAACAAATCGGTCATGTCATCATTTAACGGTATATATTCATAAATCAGGAATAAAAAGATGATCGGTATCCGTTTTTCCTCAATATCGAAATTCCTGCCAGTTAAAGACTCTAAGGGTGATATAGGTCGGGTGGATCTCCAGGATATTTTAATTGAACTCTACAGAACTGACATAAAACTGGAAAGGTTTATTTAGGCGAACTTTCTGCCATTAGATTCCCGTGTAATGGATTCATGGTTTCTCTATAAAACCTATATGTAACAAAAATAGTAAACATCAATGACATATAATAATACCTACCGACGAAACATTCGTTAAAAGTGTACATCAATGAAAACAGCTGGGGACGCCATTTTGATAACCCATATCATTAGTAAAATTTTTTAAACTAGAGGCCAATTTATTCCTATGTCTGACCCAAACTTTAATGAAGAATGCATTGTCAGTCTAGGTATTATTGTATGTCATAAACGTATATCACTTTTAGTAGCTCAGATAGTGAAAGGATTGATGGCCAGAAAGGAAATAGACCTACTTCGCGGATTGGAAAAGAAAAAAGGAAATTGAATAGTTTTTACCCGATCGCAGATGTATGATAAGCAAGGCACTGGGCATCGGCGGTAAGTGCAAAGATTTAAGAAATGCATAGATGGTTATTCCAGATTTCAGATGTATAAAATGTAAAATATAGTTATGTTTTACTTTTAAATAGCAATCGCAATTATTTCTTATCATTCACAATAAATCGTAAATTTTTCTATATTTTTTTTTTTACATATGAATGTCCCAAATGAATGCAAATGGGAACATTGAATAATTTTATTTACATATAATTTATTTAATAAAAAAAAACAACGTTGAAAAATGTGTTATTTAGGTCTGTCTTGTTTAAGTGAGAAATGTTCACAGAAATAAAGTTGGGAAGTGAAAGGGTGAGATGTTTAAAAAATACTAAATTAGTAATCTAACAAAAAATTAAACAAGTTATCTATGATTCCAATTCAAGGCAGAGATATCAAAACTGATGTATGAAGCGCGTGTTGAGATACAAATAGCGATATATAGGGAAAAAAAATTAGATAGTGACTAAAAAATGTGATGGCCGGAGGATTCGTAGAAAAAAATGTTAAAGAGGCGATTTTAACGAACCGGGTCGGACCTAACTTTTTGTAAAAGACCGGGGTGGGATATTGTTCAGCAAATATTTAAATAACGGGCCGGTCAATCCGAGCTAAAAAATTTATAGGGTTTGGCATTGAAGATCTCGGGTATACATTAACTGCTTGTGAAGGGATCATCTTAGTGGGAAGCTATAGCTGTTTCCAAATCATGACTTGTTTTATAAGATAGTCAAAGAAAATTCATTTGCCTTTGGCATTGAATAAAAATTCTCTTCGATATGTATATTTTTTTTAAAAAAGGATTATGGTTTTTGAATGGGACTGCGTCATGGTTACCGCGCGACGTCTATCGCGCAATTTGGCTAGCTCCGACTTCCAAAATTTTTTTTTTACGCTATCGAATTGACCGTATGCCTCTAAAAATTAGTTATACATGATGGGAACCTTGAAAAAGATGAAGTTATTTGAGTGAATCGAAAAATCTACAGAGCCTTTTCCCGTGCATGCCTACAATTTACATATTCTCTACTAAGAGAGTGCGTTACACTTGGAGTGCTAGCAAAAGGTGACTTACAAATCCCATGGTGGAGCCACTTATGATATAGATATCAGGGGTTGAGGGGCACGTGTAACGCTGAAAGTGGCAGGCCGGGACAGCTAAATTGCGAGTTAGGACACGTGAGAGTTAACCTAAAAGTCGATCGAGAGGAAGAGAGTAAACACGATAAAACTTTGATAACTGACGATTCTTTAAATTATTGTTGCTGATAGGGATAATGTTAGTGATAATATATCAATTATTCCCCATATTACAATAGAGAATTCGTATTCACAATTGCAGCATTTCACTCTCACTCTTTACGTTAAAACGTTATTAGGGAAACGTTTTTTAATTTCCTTTAAAATAGAATGATTAAATCGACACAGCAAACTCATATATCATCTATTTTCAAATCGTAATAAATATCTAACATAATACTAATGATTAAACATGATGATGAAAAATTGCTAAGAAGCTATCATAATTTTATAAGAAGAATAAAAAGTAGTAAAAATGTGTGTTAAAACTAATTTTGCATATATTATATTTACAAGTTGGTAAAACAAGTAATATTGTTGTAAAATGAAATATATTTATAAATTACAAGTATAAAATTTGAGGGATTAAATGTAAATATATTAAATATAATATTTAAATATGAAAATAATTTAATGATATCGATTGGGGGAAAAAAAATGTGTTAAAGATTTTGCAGAAGAAAAATCAATCAATATTAATAATATAATGATGTTGTATTTAATTTTTGAAATTCGTAAAAAAGATTACGATCATTATTCTCGTTCCTGTAATCTTCTAACATATAATCGTGTCGTGTTTATAATAGGCAATTCAAAGATTAGGGAAACTAAGGCCGATATAGCAAAGGTCACAAAAGCGAACCCTAGAAAAAGCATAAATAAGTGTGGGTGCGAAAAATTTAGGGGTTGGTTGAGCGAGGAATAATAGCATAAAATAACGAGAGGATGTATTAGGTAAGCCGGGAAAGCCAAATTACTTAAGGGTAACCACACCCTGGCACTTAGGATCGAGGCCACCAAACCGGTCCTTTGTTTACCACCTGGTGTGGCATATCGTTCCCTACAACTAACAATAACCCAAATTAAAAAGAGAACCCAAACGGGCCGCGTCATGGAGTTGTAAAAAGCGGAAAGGAGCGGGCTAAAACCGCGATTAGTATGGGAACCGTTATAACTGGCAATAGTATTAGTTGCGTCAGCCTGGGACAAACTGGATCCAAACGGGGTCAGCGATCGCGTTTCGGGCTTGACCCCGTATATCATGGCCAAGACTAAGGCGATCAACACGCACCAAAGGACCGCCCTTTTGAGTGGATCTTGCAGCAATTTGGCAGATTTGCGGCTCATTTTCTTGCCCGTCCTTCTGATATGCAACGAGGCCCTGGAAGATATATTCCTAACCCCCCTATGCAATATTCCCGAGGTATCCGCACCGTCTTCCGTCGGTATATCGTCGCCGTCTTCATTGTAATCCCCCTCTTCGCTCTCCAAATCTAAAACGTGGGAAGATTGGTTATCCCGGCGCCTTTGATGGCTGCAGTAAAGGATTAACCCAAAAGAAAGACCCACGAGGTAAGCAGGAAGCCTTATGTAAGGACGGATGTAATAATCGTAGAAGTAAGGAAACAGCTGAGGATCATTCACGGAAAATATTGATCTAAGAACATTTTATTAAATAAAATTTCAAAACTTTTATCTTTATTGAAAAACAATTTTTTTTTTTTAAATAAAATTTTGAGAAAATTTTCAAAAAAAAATTAATAAGGCTTAAAACTTTTGAAATGAGTTTTGGTCAAAATCCATAAAAACTGATAATATAGTTAAATCATATGGGAATTGACGAACATTTAAGTCAGTCAATACCACGAATCGACTGAGACATGTATAATAAAGGTTTTACAATTTGTTCAATGCTACGAGCTCGATATCTTATTAATTAAAAAAAGTTACGCGATACGCTAAATGGCTGGTATTATACTCGGATTTTTAAAAGTACTCATTATAGGAGAGACCGTGTTTTTTTAAAAAAATATATATCCGGGGTGGATATTTTTAAAAGCAGAAAATTATTGAAATCGCCATTAGCTATAAAAAATCAAAAATAAATAAAATATATTTCGAAAAAATCCGGGCCGGGTCCGAAAATTTTTTTAAAAAAACCCGGGGGCCGAAAATTTTTTTTAAAAAAAAAACCGGGCCGGGCCGTACAATATAAAGGTAATCATTTTTCATTTGCGATTATTCTTTTTAAAGAGAGAATCAGAAAATAATAATTTGATTTTTATGAATGGTTTTTTTTTAAATATAAAACAAAAGCGAAATGAAAAATTTATTATT